CTGTACTTTAACGACCGCACCCTCGACAACATATGGCATCCGCACCCTCGCCCCCGAATGCTCGAATGCCGGCGCGTGGGCAATGGCGCTGCCAGGTCGCTCCTCCGCGCGGGCTGTCCCCGAAGGAATTGCGAAGCAAACGCATTCGCGCCGTCTTGCCAAGCTCTGCGCGTCATATTTGGCGCGACGTTCGCAGTCGCTCAACGCGGCCCGATCGCGCCAGATGCCACTGAGCTTCTCAGGTAGCGTGCCAGAGCGACCAATGGCACATCGCCCTCGGGATCGAGCCACTCATGATATCATACAACCACAACCGCGGCAATTCTCCTGGCGCTCTTCGAGCAGCGCCTGCGGCGGCGAACCCCCCCCCCGCCCGCCACCGAAGTCGAAATTGCGGCGCGAGGTGAGTGTTTGTCAGCGAGGCGCGTGGGCGCGAGGATCGCAACTCCGCCAGGTATCCGATCCTGCTCAAATGGCCGTTGCGTCCGCGAAGATGCCGTGCAACCAAACCCTTGGCGTGGCCCTACAGCGTGGGGGGGCTGGCGCCGAGGGTCTCGGGCCCCAATGCGGCTGCAATCTTGGCCGAGCAATCCTCCGAGAACGCTTTCGATCGGCCGGCGCCTTCCGCGTTGACCGTGGCTGGGATTCCGCCCCGTTCTGAACGGCCTTCGCCTCGCCCAGTGCGCGACCGCTCCTCCCGCGCTGCAAGCGAATCTCCGCGGCGGGGATGGCGCCCCGAGCCGCGCTCGACGGCCTCGACGCCGCCAGCGTGCCAGCCGCAGTCTATGCGTCCTCGCGCCAGACTGGCCTCGCCGAAGCGCTCGGTCTATCATCCCATCCGCCAATATGCTAGCCATGCTCCGCATCTACCTCCAGCCCCTCTTGGGCCGAGTCAGGGCGGCCAGGGCGTGCCTCTCGCAGAGGGGGAGATCGGCGCGATCTGCCCTGGCCCTGGCCCCCTGGCAACGCGTCGGGCGCATGCTTGTCGCCCCGCGCGATCGGGCCGACATCCCCCTCGCCTCGCAGCCCCCCCGAACGCGCGCGTGGGCCGGCGATCCGAGTTGCGCGCATGTGCCTCGGAGCTGACGGCGAACCAACCACCTCCATCAAAAGAGAGCTCTCACCGCTCCTGATCCAACGTGGTCGACTTTCGCGGCGACGGAACCACGGCGCGCGCCCTGGGGGCAGTTGTGTGCCCCGCCCCCTCCGCGTCGCAAGACTGGCGGCCCGTCGTGACTTCGCTGACCTTGAATGAGACGCCATGCCCAAAACAGCGCGGATCCGCGATCTAGTCCTTCGCCAAAACTGCGGCGAACAACGGGCCCTGGGCAATGCGCGTAGCAGCGTCGCGTAACTCAGCGGCATCAATTGGAAGCTCCGGCGCGCCCCCCTCGGAGCAGCACGCCAGCCAGCTCGCCGCCGGCCCCGCCTCCGACACTCCGCCCAGAAGGCGCCGGGCGCCCTGCGTCTGGGAGCCCGAACCCCCCTCGCGCTTGATCTCGTCGGCGGGGCCCGGCTCGCCACAGAATGCATGGCATTGGCTGGGGCCTGCGTCGGGGCTGCGGATTGGCCGCCCACCCCGTGCTGCGCCAGCAACTTGCCCAGCGCCTGAACGTTGACATTGGCGCCCTGGACCTTCTCCTGCATCTCCACCTTCCCCAGCGTCTTGGCGGAGTTGATCGTGAGCTCGTGGAGCCGCATCCGGATGTCTGCGACCGCTCTCTCCGCCGCCTCTCGCTGGCCCTGCGGCTTCTGGAGACTCTTTGGCAGCTCGACGATGTGCGCCAAATTCGGCCCTGGAAAGATCCTTGCAGGACTGCAACTTCATCTCCGCCACCGTGAATCGGGTCGTTGCCGTGGCGATCTGCCCATGCGTGGACCGCGCCGCCTGTAGTTCAGCATTTGTCCGACCATGCTGAACTGCTCCTCCACCTCCTTAAGCTGCTTCATCTGCGCAGCCTATTCTTTAGGAGACAAGGAACCGCCTTCGCCCTGGCCCAGCTTCTCGACGTCGGTCGCCATCGGGGCCGAAGCAAGGTGCCTCTCCCAGTGTCTTGTTCTCCGCCGCAAGCCTTGTGATCTTACCCTCGAGCCCGATCACCTTGGGAGTCTGCTCCGACTGCATACCCTAAGGCGGCGCCCTCGTAGACGGCACCACTGACATGACTTTCGAATGGAAGCGATCGCCCTTCCGCAACCCACAACGAGTACACTTCTTGAAGTACACTCTCCCTGAGTTTGGTTGCGAACGCCACTTGCAATGCCAGCGCACATGTTTTTTGGCGACAAGGTGCCCATGCCTCCCACGGTTGGGCAACGCACAGCCGGCCCTCGCTCGAAACAAATCGGGGTGCGGCCTCGGATCAGAATTATCCACGTGTTCTCGTGCGGAACAATGCATATTTAGCCACAGTGGCCACGGAACGAAGAGGAGAAGGACGAAGAGGGGAAGGAGGAGGAGGAAGAGGAGGAAGAGGATGAGGACGACGAGATGACTGGGGCACGATGGGTACGTAATGACCGCCGCCCCCTCCCCCCGCGCGTTGCGGGGACGGACGCGCCCTCTTCAGAACCAGCGTTTCCGAAAAGCCGCCGGGGCCGACGGGATCGTCATGTTTCCCCAAGTCCTAACATACATGGGGTTATTGGGATCCCACACCACACTCAGTTCGATCATGCCCAGGCTCACCGACAATCAAAAACAATCGGTTCACACAGCCAAACCGCTCGCACCCAGACCCGCCCAAACTCAGACCCATTCGCAACCATTCCGTTCAGCTTACGTAGTAATGTTTTGGGCGGGTGTCTACTGGTACTCAGCTTCGCACGCGCTCAGACTCACTCGCACCCAGACTCACTCGCACATGGGCCCAAGCACACACAGACACGCACACACACAAACCTACACATTCTTCTCTGGGTCTAAAATTCACCACAGTGTTGCGTGCGTAGCACTCGGGCACCCCAAGGGGGAGCTGCCAGGGAGGGGGATCATTTCCAGTCTGCGCGGCTCTTCTGAAAACCCCGTGATCACCGCGATCTGCCAGGTGTGGCATTTCGGCGCCCAAGGAAGAGCCGCCAAGGAGGGGGACCCTTTCCCGTTCGCGCCCGGATTGTGAGGATGCCTCACGCGATTTGCCTGCGTGGCGGCTCAAAATCATCTCTTGGGGGCGCCATGGTCACCGCGATGTGCCAAGCGTAGCACTCGCGCCGCCAGGGAGGGGGGCACTTGCCCGTTCGCGCCAATATTGTGGGGATGTATGATGTTGTCTGCTTCGTGGCTCAGACTCCTGTCCTTCGACAGCCTCGTAATCAGAACGAACAGCAGGCGCAGAATGTGGTTACCCTACGGGCCTCTAGAAGGGGAGCGCTAGGGCAGGGGACGCTTTTCCTTTGCACCCATATTGTGGGGGTGTCTCAGGTGGGCCCGCTCTGTGGTTCAGACGCATTTCTTCTGAGAGTCCCTGAGCACAACGATATACCAAGCGTAACACTTGGACACTCCAAGGGGGAGCTGCCATGGATGAGGGCGACTTCGGGCAAATTATGGAGACGCCACAAGCGGTTTGCCCGTTTGGCTGCTCAAGTAGTTTTTTTTCGGGAGGGGGGGGAACCTGATGATCACCGCGATATGCCAGGTGTAGCATTTCGTCGCCCCAAGGAAGAGGCGCCAGGGAGGGGGACCCTTGCCCGTTCGCGCCCAGATTTTGGGCATGTCTCAGGCGGTGTGCCTGTTTGGTGACTGGGACTCCTTCCTGACTGCTGAAAGGCCATGACCACCGCGATAAAGCAGGCGCGGCACTGGCGGAACCCAAGGAGGAGCCGCCAGGGGGCAGGACACCGACACGACTTGTTCACGAAGCGAAGTGGTCTGGAATTGAAGCAACAAAAATAATGTCGCCGGAAATCTGCGGGAGCACAGCGATTTGAGACAACGGATACTCAAAAACGGTCCCCTGACCCCTCGTGGGGTCAAACGCGCCAATGTTGGAAGTTACGTCCAGCCATGGCCAACTGCCATTGTCTAAATCCGCTCCCCTCTGAGAAGTCGGGGACGATGCCCGGATTGAACAAAATCATGTCGCCAGAAATCTGGGAAGCATTGCGGTGGCGCCGCCGTCGCCGCGGTGAGCCCGCACTGCTGCCTCCTCGACGAAGACGGCGACGACCGCGGCGACGACCGCGGCGACGACGACCACGACGAAGACGACGACGACGACGACGACGACCACGACGACGGCGACGATGCCGACGACGACGACGACAACGTGGCCCCCCTGACGTCTGGACCCCGTCCCGTGGACTGCCTTCTCATCCCGAGTACTTTCCTGACTCTCAGGAAGCGAAGCCCTTGACCCCAGGAGCTTCTCATTTCCGGGGGGGGGGGGAACTTGCACTTCTGCCGGCTCCCGCCGGCCTTCCGCTGTCTTCTGCCAGACTTCCGCCGGCAGAGCCGCCCCCATCTTATTTCCGCCCCCTGGCGGCCTCCTCGGGGCCGAGGGTCGGAGGGTCGGGCGCCCCTCGGAGCCGAGGGTCGGAGCCGAAAAGTACCTCCTCCTCCTCCTCCTCCTCCCCCTCCCCCTCCCCCTCCTCCCCTCCTCCTCTCCTCCTCCTCCTCTCCTCCTCCTCCTCCTCCTCCTCCTCCTCCTCCTCCTCCTCCTCCTCCTCCTCCCCCACCTCCTCCACCTCCTCCTCCTCCCCATCTTATTTCCGCCCCATCCGAATTGCTCGGTCCCTCGGAAAGCGGGGCCCTTTCTGGAGCGCCCCACGTCGCCGGGCGGCGGCGGCCCCGCCGTCGAGGCTGGCCCGCACGTGCCTGCAGGGCGCCCGCCTGCTGCGTCCTCGACGACGACGACGACGAAGGCGCCACCGCCGTCGTCGCCGCCGTCGTCGTCGTCGTCGTCGTCGTCGTCGTCGTCGTTGTAGCCGCCGTCGTCGAGGAGGGGCCGCGGTCGTCGCCGTCGCTGTCGTCGTCGCAGGGCGGGCTGGCCGCGGCGGGCCTGCAGGGCGCCCGCCTGCTGCCTCCTGGACGTGGGGCGGTAGCCGAGCAGCAGCTGCCAGGCCTCGCCGCGCTGCCGCTCCTCGCGGCGGCGGCGCCGCCGCCCGAGGCCGCGGCCGCCGTCGCCGTCGCCGTCGTGGGTCGCCGTCGCCGTCGTGGGTCGCCGTCGCCGTCGCCGTCGCCGTCGCCGTCGCGCGCGCGGCCATCTCCTCCTCTCCCTCTTGCCTTCCCGCCGCCTCCGTGCCCAACTCACGCTGTGCAGCCGGCCTGTGGGGTGCTTGACCGCAACCCCGGCCCCGAGACGCCGCCGACCAGAGGAGAAGCGGGCACCTCACAGGGGCGCAGGGCAGAGTCGGGCCGGCGGCCGTGGGCTCCTCCGGGACGCCCACCCACGCGATCTCCGCCAGGGCGGCCCTGCCGGGCAGGCTGGGCATGGGGGGGAGGGCGGGAGGAGGAGCGGAGGCAGGGAGCGGAGCACGAGCGCCGCCATTCCGCAACCGCCCTGTGGTGTTGGATCCTCCTTTTGAAGAGACGGCGCCCCGCGCTCCTCCTCTCCTCTCCTCTCCGTTCCTCTCCGTTCCTCTCCGTTCCTCTCCTCTCCTCTCCTCTCCTCTCCTCTCCTCTCCTCTCCTCTCCTCTCCTCCTCTCTCTCCTCCTCCTCCTCCTCCCCCTCCTCCTCCTCCTCCTCCTCCCCTCCTCCTCCTCCTCCTCCTCCTCTCCGCAGCCATTTTGGCTCAAGGCTATGAGGTTCACAACGAACCAAGTGGATACCGCTAGTCCGCGGCAGTGCCAGGGCCTTGAGCCCGACAACTTTTCCGAGACCTGGTCAGCCCCAGGTGCTCGAGTGCGGCCCACCAGAGGGATCGCACAGCCCTTCATTACGAACCCTGCGAGGGGATTCCTCTTCACACTCCTGGTCTATCTGAAGCCATGGGCCCCCAGCGTGGGCAGAACAAACGCATGGCATGGGCCAAACCGTGGCTTTGCAGATGGTGTGTCAACTCCAAGGGCGACCGCTGGTGGAACAATGCACCAACCAAGTTCTGCAAGGGATAGTGTGGCTGCCGCAAGGACATCGCGTTCTTCGGCATCAAGCCACCGCCCGCACCATTGGCCAAGGACAAAAGCCGAGGCAAAGGCAAGGACCAGGGCAAGGATAAGAAGTCACAACGCGAAAGAGCCCTCGAGAAGCAAATTGCTGAGCTACGTGAGCAGCTTGGCACGCGGGACAAGGACGGCAGCGCCATGGAAGTGGACACTCCGCCCACGACCGACAACGTTCAGGCCCGCTACAAGAGCGAGCTCGCGCTTGCCGGGCCCATGCTCAAGGCCCTGCCGAAGGCTGCGGACACGAAATTCGCCCAGCAGCAGCGCCTTCACCTCGAGAGGTACCGCGACGCATGCAAGTGCAAGCTGCGTGAGGCCCAGTCCTTTGAGTGGAGGGCCCACGACGCAGTCAACCCGAAGAAGCAGCTGCTGGAGAAGAAGCAGCGCATCGAGAATAATGTGGAGCTCGCCAAGGAGGCCGCGGTTGCGGCCCAGGCGGCGGTCGACAGCGCGGAGTCGGAGCTACAGGACGTGCTGGAGCAGATTGTGGCGAAGGTGGCTGGGGTGCAGCAAATCCTTGGGTCCATGCCGAATTCGGCGACTGAGCGCAAGCTCGAGGCGCAGATCAAGAATGTGGGTGCACCGGTCGAGGGCCTCGGAGAGCTGTTCAAGGCACGAGGCCTAGAGGGAGGTGCTGCCGAGAACCTCACGGCCTCGCTCAAGAGCGTCATGGACCAGTTGCGTGCTGCCGAGCTTGCCTGAAGGCCTGTTCCTGCAGCCCCTGTTCGGGAGCCAGAGCCTCAGGCCGAAGCTCCACCTCGTCCTCCTGATCAGCATCCTAAGTCTGTTCCTCCTTCGGGCGACGGACTCCAGATGAGCTCTGCCAGTTTCTTCCGGCATTGGGAGTACGAGTCCCTGAGGACGAGGAGCAGTTGCGGGCAGCAGTCAAGCGCGCGTCGGCTGGTTTGGAAGGCCTGGCCAAGAAGGCCCGCACCTCTGCATAGAGCTGTATACCTCCTTGTGTGGTTATTGAAAGTTGCGCCCATGACGGAAGCCACCACGATTGAGACTTTGAATTGCACCTCGCTTGGGCAGCTGGCAAGATACCTTCCTCGGTGCAGAGCTCAAGTCATCCGTGTGCAAGAACATCACATCACGAAGGATAAGTTGGCAGACGGTCAAGTCAAGTTGGCTAAGCTAGGATGGCAGGGCGTTTGGGGCCCTGCGCGATCGACCCCTGCGCTCGGAACGTCGGGTGGAGTCGCGGACCTGACGCGCAAGATGATCACCATCACGGCGGCGCCAGGAACTGACGGAGGAGTTCTTGTGCCCCACCGCCTCCTGGCCACTCGCGTTCACTGGGGCGCGGACAAGGGCCTGATTGTGTATTCGATGTATCTGTATGTGGGGGACAAGATGTCGGCGCGCAATGTTGAGATTTTGCGCAGGTTCGCGGAGTATGTCAACGGTATGCGAGCGTACGGTTTCACGTTGGTCCCTGGAGGTGGCTACAACATGAGTGCCGAGGAAATGCGAGATCTTGATTGGCTCCATTCCATCCATTCCATCGGCGGCGTAGTGGCTGCTCCGCGTGCGACGACGTGCCGACAAAGTCTGCCTGGCACCACAATCGACTGGTTTATGGTTGCTGCTGTGCTGGTGCCAAGGGTGTCTAGGCCCACTGTTAACGATGAGGCGGACGCTGCATTCCACCTGCCCGTCATCTTACCTCTGGGAGCTAAGAACAATGCCGCACCCCTCAGACAGATGACTGAGCCGGCAACGTTGCCCACAGACATCAAGCCAGGCTGCTCAAGGTACCCGTGCAGTTGGGAACCTGTTATGCGTCAGCTGCAGCAGGTCAATGCGCAGGAGGAGCTCTCGAATGCTTGGTTGACAATTCTCAATGCGCTGGAGGTGAAACTAGCAGGCCACCATGCCATCGTTGGCGAGAGCTTGGTTCAGTATATCTCTAAAGGTGGCCATGCGCAACAAATCGCGAAGCATGTAGAGAAGCCTGTGCCAGAGGCCCCAGGGGATGAAGTTTGTTACTCGTGGAAGGTTGCTCAGAGATGGGCCCGGCACGTGCGACGAGTAGCTGTCCTATTCAACACCCTGGTAGATCAATGTAACCCCGAGACTTCTGATTATCTGGATATGGCCTCTAGCGGTGCATCAATTTCGGCGCCCGCAATCTCTATGCCTACCGATGTGGATCCCACGATAGACGGGGTTTGGGGCTTCCCCCGCGAACCCGCATCATCGAGCACGGTAGTCATGGGGTCACTTTCGGCGACTACAGTCTGTATGTCAACCAATGTGGGGCCCACGGTTGACGGGGTTGGGAGCCTTCCCCGTGATCCCGCATCGTCGTGGACGGCCGCCAGTGGAACGAGTACGTCGCCCAAGGTCTTTATGTCAACTGATGTGGGGCCCACAGCTGACGGGGTTGGGGGCCTTCCCCGCGAACCCAGTGGGAGGACGTGGCTGCCAGACTACAGCTCGCCATGGAAAGGCCGCCAAGCTCCCGACTGGTCTCCCCAGCCGAGATACGGCACGGCCAGCGTGCCCCGCCAAGTCGTCACCTTTTGCTGGGCCTCATTCCGAAAGCCCGCCGATAAGGCCCAATCCCAGGCAGAAACAGAAGCCTTCGACTCCTCAGAGGCTTGGGAAACTGATTTTGGATGCTGGGTACTTCGCGTAGGAGATCGCGAGGGCCACCCGTGTCCATGAGCATTTAGACAACGTTGCAACTGAATACTTGAAGGGCGGGCTGATCCAATGGCTCGGCGACGACCAGTTGGAGGCCAAGCTAGAGGCTACGATTGCCAAGGCTCAGCTGGCCCATGGCATTTTTGCAGCGCAGCGGAAGCAGTCTTGGATGTAGTGGACGACGACGGCATTCAAGAACGGAGCTCAGGCATCACACAGGTTTTCTCGTGTGAAGGGTTTGCAGATGGCCCTTGGGTCGTCCGATTTCTCTGCTTCACCAGAGCTGGCGAACGGTGAGCTGGCGAAGTGGAAAAAGGTGTGGCGCCTACATGGGGCGGATCGGCTACCTCTCCCAGCGGGTGCGCATAGATAGGAGCAACTGCCGCCCCTCGCAGGCGCATGCCTCAAGTGCGTGATTGGCACCTCTGCCCGTCGCACAAGTCGAAGGCAAGTTCGAATCCTTCCGCGACATGCTTGGTTTCCATCGGATGCTGGCCCCGACGCGCTGGCTTTCTCTGTTCTGCGCCCGCGAGCGCATGTGCTACTGGCCGCAGGATCAGCTATCTGCTGAGCTGCGCGTGTGCTTCCCAAGCCAAGCGGAGGCGCGCGGCTCATTGCACTGCTGAGCGCGCTGCCGAGGATATGGGGTCGAGCCAGACGGCCGCTCCGCGTGCAGTGGGAGCAAACGCATCGACGCACGTCATTCCTCCTCCTCCTCCTCCTCCTCCTCCTCTGCTCCTGCTCCTGCTCCTCCTCCTCCTCCTGGGGCGGAGGACCGGGCAGCACATCTAGCGATTGCGCGCTTCAGCTTCACTTGACGGCAGGAACAACACACGCGCGCGCAAGCAGCACATCATCGCGGCATTCCGGGACATGTTCAGGTGCTATGAGACAATACTAGGGGGTATGATCATGATAGAGGCGCGTGAGCTTGGATATCCAATACAGCCCATGTGGACGATACTGCAGACATACATGGTACCGCGCACTATAGGAGCATACGCGACCGCCAACAGCCTTTTCGTATCGTGTCAGGGGATCTTGGCTGGGTGCACGCACGCCACGTCGGTACTCATGCTTGTACTATATCGAGTGGTTGATCGGCAATATAAGCTATATCCACAGGTATGCGCTAGAGTACTCATGGACGACATCACGATGCAGTGGCGCGGGCCCGATTTTCGGGGCGCTACAGTCCTCGACGCATGCGTGCGCAACTTCGTCTCGGATGTTTACCCGCTCGGTCTGATTCTGCAGCAGAGTAAGTCGGGATTCGTGGCGACCACTACTCGGGCCGCCAAGGGCTTCCACAGTGGCATAAACAGCATGAAGCTCAGTATCAAAAAGCGCATCAGGAATCTCGGGCACGAGCTCCACGGGTTTCGGGCCTCCAGGGTCCAGGAGAAGGAGCGCATGAAGAACCTCGCAGCCCGTAAAGGGCAACATATTACAGCTCAGGGATTCGGTTCACGAGGATGTAGGAGTTCACGAGGATGTAGGAGTTCGTTGGAGGACAAGCATCCTTCCGTCGGTAGGTCACGGCACGCGGGTGAGCGGCACGTCAGACACGGTGCTCAAGCAGCTGCGCACCTCTGCGGGTGGCATGGTCGGTGCTGCCCAGAACGCCTCACTCACACTCTACCTTATTACCCAGCAGGATGAAAAGTTCGACCCTATTTTTGATTGCACAACCTTGCTGGTCGAGCGCTGCCCCAGCATGATATGGGACAGTGCAGCATACATGACAGATGTAAACCACGCATAGCGATGTGCAGCGGATCGCGTTGCCCAGGCAAAGCCCAACTGGCAATTGGCTCGTGGGCCTGTGGCTTCCGTGTGGTTGACCCTCAATCGCATCAATTGGCGGATGCTCAGCCCCACGGACCTGGAGGACGACCTTGTAGCTCAGTATTCACTATATCGGGTTGTCACTCGCGATCTGCAGTCTCGGCTCGGGGAGTCTATCCGACGATGGCAGACGGCTCGCTTGGCTTGCTGCCTCACCTTCCTGAAATGATGGGCGATGAGAAGATATGGCGTCGCGCTCTTCGACGCGCTGCACTGAAGGTCCCAGCTGGACCTCAGAGAGGCGCGCTCCGCAAGCTATGGTCTGGTGGGCTGCTATGCCCAGGTATGGCGTTCGAGCTGGAACTGACAACGTCGAAGGAATGCCACTACTGTGGGCACGACACGGGTACGATATCTCACCAATGGAATTGTTGTGAGGCGCTGCTGCAGAGCTCGGAACTATTCCCCGAGGCTATTCCAAAAGCTATTGTCGAGTTCAGGGAAGGAATGCGGAATCGGATTGACGACAACCTCGGCAACCCTGAGACCTTCAAGCTGCCGTACGGGATCCCGCTAGAGCCTCTCCAGCCTGCCCGCCCAGAGATGGAGCCGACTGTTTTCTCATTGGGTTATGGCGGAGGCAGATGGGGGAATCTTACCTACATGGATGCGTCGGGGTTGCACAATTCATACCCAACGTTATGCCGTGTGGGGTGGTCGGTGGTCCAGCTCTGCCCCATGACTGGCGGGCCCATTCGTGCTCGGTATGGAGGGCTACCAGGAGTTGACCAGAGTGTTTCCCGCGGGGAGAGATATGCGGGGCCTGATGCCCTTGAGTATATGAGCAGGCCAGGTCTTGTAGTGTCAGCCCACACAAGTATCGTGGACGAGGCGCTGCAGTGGGACCCCCACCTGTCCAATGCTGCCAGCAAGCATGCGTCGATCTGGAGAGATATTTTCAATGTGTGCAAGGATGATGTGGAGCGAACACGCTTCGAATGGGTTCCTGCTCACAAAGATGCGCTGGAAGCTGTAAGCGAAGGAACATCCCTGGCCCACGTGGTGGGAGATGCATGGGCAGACGTTTTTGCATGTTGCGGTGCCTGCAACATCAAAGTCGCCGACACCCTGGCAGAGAACCACAAGGGCCTGCTCAAGTATGCTACGACGACTGCGAGATTCCTCGGCTACATGGTCTCGAGGGCGGTCCGCATGTACAAGATGATAGGTGCGGCTCCGCCTGAGCCTAGGAAAAATG